AAAAAAAAATGAAGTGAAAAAAATTCAAATTAAATGGATTGGTTCTTGGGCCCGAGTGTGGCACGAGCACGAGCACGGGCACGGCACGAGCCCGGCCCGGCCCATTTCAATATGGACATGGGCTTTGGGCAGGGCCGGGATTAATAATTTTACTAAATGGGCCGGCACGGCACGGCCCGATAAATTAAATGGGCCGGCCCGGCCCGACATGAAAACGTTAAAAGCACGAGTTTAAATGGGATGGGCCGGCACAGCACGGCCCGTTTGACACCTCTAATCCGAGCACACCTACGCGCTCGTGACATTGAGAGGATCACAATGGGACAAAAACCCCCCCCACCCCCAGGCCCCCCGCGCCGCCACAAACGCCGGCAGCGCGTGGGTGTCCAAAGCGATATCGCATCGCCGGAAAACTTCCAAATCGAGAGCCAAGACTCCTACTCTAAGTAATACACCTAATTTAGAGTCACTTTTGTTCTTGGACGTACCCCAAAAACTGACCGAAAGTGGCCGGAATCTCCCCTCAAAATCCGGCCGAAACCCAATTCGTAAATCTAGTTGCCTACGATACAAATTGATCAATTCCTACCCAACAGGCAGCTAGAGCTCGGAAAATAGATGCAAAATCATACCTCACTTGCCGGAATCGGTGGCCGAAAGACGGAGAACGAAGCCGGCGAAGTTTCTGTCAAAACCGGAGCTTTTCTCCTCGTTTTTCGGCGAAATCACGGCGGCTGGCTGCGTGACCTGGCTGGGGTAGGAAGAGGACAGCGGCCCAGTCATTTTGGTACCGGCCCCGTCGACTTTGGTGGCCGGACGAGAGCATGGCCGGCCAAAACGTGGCCGGCTGTTTCAGCCGTCGCGAACCAGAGGAGAGAGAGGGAGACGTGCGGGAGAGGGAGAGAGAGCTGAGAGCTTTTCTGTCTTTTAACCAAAAACCCATTTCAAAATATTTACGATTTTGTCACTGGTGATGTTTTACCCGTAACTTCTTCGTTACAGCTCCGATTTAAGCCCACTACGTCTCTACGGACTCATCTCACCGTGCTCTATGCAACGGTATCGTCAAAATTCCCAAATTCCTTCCGGATAAGAAATGACCAAATTACCCCTACCCCAAGGGCAATTTCGTAATTTCACTTAAATAAATTAAAATGGGCAATAAATTTGGAGTCGGGGTGTTACACCGATCGTCAATGCTAATTAAGAATGGTGCTTAACAAGCATCTCTCCTTTCTAATAGAATTGCATGTGCATTGCAAAATCAAAGTAATCCAAGTTAATTCAGAAAGTTCAGATTAAAGACAGGGGGCTGTAGAAACCAAATAATTA